TGACTGTTTGCCTGTCAGTGAACCCAAGCGGACAGAGTTTTTTTAAAAAAACTTGATTTAACAGTGAAACAATTGAGTCAAAGTATCAAAAATGTAAAGGTCTTATCAGCTCTGCCAAAATGCTTGTCACAGTTTGAGCTCTCAAGGACAGAGGCTGAGCAGCTGGCTAATGAAACACTGATCTGGCTCTGTTGGCTGGCACAGGGTGACATTTAACAATGGATCTCCTTCTCCTCAGTTAGAGCACACTTCACAGTCTACAGTCAGGTAGATAGATGTTGCATGTGTTACTACCAGTTATCTGTTTGTAATTTAATTTATTGATCAAATGACAAAATGAACAGACTGATTTTGGATCTGACACATCAAAAGACATTTGAGTTAAAAAGTGAAGGAAATAATGGACAGCTTTGTGTGTTTTTCATTTAATATATTTGTTATAATCACACACCCACAGGAAGGTGTCTGTGAAGAAAAATGGACCCAGAGGGCTGTATTTATTAAGTGCTATACTGCATCACTGGGGCCCCCCAGGCTTGTTCGGATGAGCACAGTAAATATCGGTGAGTAGGCCAGGTTTGAGGATAAAGGAGCGGGGAATAGAGGACCACTCCTCCGGACCATATCCCTCCCAGTCCACCAGGTACTGGTATCCCCGGGCCCCTAGGGCAGACATCCAGGATCTGCTGGACAGTGTAGGCCGGACCGTCGTCCACCTCCAGGGCAGGCGGATGTGGAGCCAGTGGAGGACAGAGGGGACTGGAGGAGACAGGTTTGATCGGGTAGACATGAAAAACAGGGTGTATACGGAGGGAGTCAGGCAGTGTAAGCTTTACAGCAGTGGGGTGTATGGTTTCCTGGATGGTAAAAGGCCCCAGGACCCATGGAGAAAGTTTGGGGCATGCCCCTTTGATGGGTATGTGAGTGGACGAGAGCCATACCTGTTGCCCAACCTGGTAAGTTTATTTCAAGCAAGCATGTAAAAAATAAAATAGCATTACAGAAATAAAATTGTGAGAAAAGAAAAAAAAAACAAAAGAAAAAGGTAGTGCATATACAATACAAGAAGAAAGAACTAATAACAAAATAAAGACAAAATAGTACACAATTCAGTCATATCACATTCATGAAGTAAATTACAGATACTACCACCATTGCATGCTTGAAAGGGAGTAGAAAGAAGTACAGACGTATCTAGTTCTACCCCCTTTCTTAGACCACGGTGTAGTTATGCCAGTGCCATCGACCCCGCCAACAACCAGCCAAACCCCCAAAAACCACCAAGGACCAGCCCCGACATGCACCCAACATCCAGTACCAAACAACCTACACCACGGTGACTCTACTTGCACTCTAACACAAATTCGTCATTGCACACACAGATCGTCGTGTACTAACTATACGAAATAACATTGTTAAATCACTCAATACAAAAACAACATTCACTTAATCAACACCTCTCACATCCACAAGATTAATACAAAGTCTATACATTAATTTTATTATCATACACCACACCCCGAGTACTCCCATATGATCTGCACTAT